CCCCAAAGCATGCTCGAGGTCGCGATGGTGTTCGACGTTCTGAACAGGGATTCAAGGATGCACGACTCTAGTGGGACCTTCATCCCAAGAAGGCGCACACCAAATCCTCAATCAACTTGCTGAGATCGTTGTCCTCCAATCAAGGTGGGCGAAGGCAGAGATGCATCCGTATGCTTCTACCTGCCTGTACCAATCTAGGATCAATACAAACACCTATCGTCCTTCGACGAGCCAACCGTTGCACCTTCCTCCCGCGCGATGACTCTCATCCGAAGGTCATGATTTCTGAAGGTGTTGCTGGGTGCTGTTGCTCTGTTCATATCTCGTACCTCGAACTCGCCAGTGTCCGCGAGGGACTCAAGAGTTGTTGCGGCGTCCCAACGTGGCCAACCTGAAACAATGCTCGTCGTTTCATACGCGTCCTGCTTCCACTGTCGGTAATTGGGTGCATCAGGTAGGCCTCCAATATGGCCCTCGAACACGCCAAGAGGGCCCCAGGTCGGCCCAGAGAGGCCCTCTAGACGGCTTCCGACGGGCCAGGAGGCCACCAAGACGGCCCAAGATGGCTCCAAGACAGCCCAAGAGGCCCCCAAGGGGTTTTCAAGACGGCCCAAGAAGCCTCCAAGAGGGCCTCCAGGAAGGCCCAACGAGGCCCAAATCACTGATGTGCTTAGAATTGTTTGAAGGAGTTTGGCATTTGTTTTGTTCTGCCTTCCGGCGGCCCACGGGCCCCCAAAGGTCGCCCCAAGATCGCCCAAGCGGCCTCCAAGAGGGCCCCAGAACGGCCGAAGAAGCCCCCAAGACGGCCCCAAGAGGGCCCCAAGACGACCCACGAGGCCTCCAAGACGCCCAAGATGGCTTCCAAGACAACCCTGGAGCACCCCAAAGAGGGCCCCAAGTCGGCCCAGACAGGCCCCGAAGATGGCTTCCGACTGGCCAAGGAGGCCATCAAGGCTGCCCAAAATGGCTCCAAGATGGCCCAAAACGGCCAAGAGGCTCTCAAGTGGTCTCCAAGACGGCCCCAGAGGCCCCCCAAGAGGGCCTCCAGGAAGGCCCGGAGGTGCCAAATTCATGCATGTTCCCACGGTTTTTGAAGCATGTTGGCATTTGCTTCTTTTCGATCTTCCAACGGCCCGAGACGGCCCAAGGGCTCCAAAGATCGCCCCAAGATCGCCCACGAGGCCTTCCAATATTGCCCCAGGACGGCCCAGGAGGCCCCAAGAGGGCCCCAAGACGGCCCGAGAGGCATCCAAGACGCCCAAGATGGCCTCCAAGACCGGCCCCGGAGCAGCCCAAGGGGACCCCAGGTCGGCCCAGGGAGGCCCCCAAGACGGCTTCCGACGGCGTCAGACGGGCCAGGAGGCCACCAAGACGGCCCGAGATGGCTCCAAGACGGCCCAAGACGTCCGAAGAGGCTCTCAAGAGGTCTCCAAGACGGCCCAAGAGGCCCCAAAGAGGTCCTCCAGGAAGGCCAGAAGAGGCCAAAATCATTGATTGTCCTAGGGTTGTTTCCGGATTTTGGTATTTGCTCTCTTCGATCTCCCGACGGCCCGAGACGGTCCAAGAGCCCACAAAGGTCGCCCCAAGATCGCCCAAAAGGCCTTCCAAGAAGGACCCAGGACGACCCAAGAGGCCCCGAAGACGGCCCAAAGATGGCCCCAACACGGCCCAAGAGGCCTCGAAGACGCCCAAGATGGCCTCCAAGATGGCCCTGGAGCACCCCAAGAGGGCCCCAAGTCGGCCCAGGAATACCCTACGACGGCCAAAGAGGCCCCCAAGAAGCCCCCAAAGACCCCCAAGGGGCTCAATGAGGCCCCCAAGATACCTATACCTCCTCAAAGATCCCAGGAAGCTCCAAGGAGGCCCTAAGAGTGCCCCCAGAGGCTCCTCAGATACCCCCTCCTGCTGCTCCTCCTCCTCCTCCTCCTCCTCCTCCTCCTCCTCCGCCTCTTCCTCCTCCTCCTCTCCTCCTCCTCCCCCTGATCTTCCCCGCCATCCTCCCCCATGTGTTCCCCAAAGGGTTTCTACAAAGGCTGGGGGAACACATGGCTCGATCGCTTGGCAGAGCTTTTGCCACAACGCTCGGCCACGTTTGCGATTCCAACAGGCAGGGGGCGGCGGTGATTCGCCGTAGGCATCTTCGATAGAACATGACCTGAGAGCGAATACATGCCTAATGATGTGCGTGTGGGCATAGATGTTATCACGGGAGCGTCAAGCATACGCTCAGTGATATCCCGACATGCATACGTAGCACCCCGCAATTGCGGATAAGAGTGAGGGGGCGGGCGCGGGCGACGCGGGCGTCGTCGGGCCGGCGGACCTCGTGGCCCCCACCTTCCCTGTCGATGGCGATATCCTCCTCCTCCTCCTCCTCCTCCTCTTCTTCGTCCTCGTCCTCATCGTCATCGTCATCCTCCTCCTCGTCCTCCTCCTCTTCTTCCTCGTCCTCCCTCTCCCCCCCTCGTCCTTCATCATCGTCCTCCCATTGTCGTCCTCCCCCTCATCGGCCTCCATCATCGTCCTCCCATTGTCGTCCATCATCATCATCCTCCCCCTCCTCCCCCTCCTCGTCCTCCTTCCCCTCCTCCCCCTCCTCGTCCTCCTGCTCCTCCACCTTTTTATTGTTCTCTCTCTCTCTCTCTCTCTCTCTCCACATTATCATTACATCCTCTCTTCTTCCGCGTTCTCCTCGTCCCCTGTTTACTCCTCCTGCCTCCCCCTCCTTTCCCAAGATAACTGCAACGCAGTCCTTTTTTCCACTTTATGCTCCCCGCCTTCTCTGATCAAGGCAACTCGCCAGGGCAAAGTTGCTGGACGGGCTGGTGTGGATGCGCGGGGCTTGAAGAGGTCCTTGCGGGCTCAGACGGCATGCGAAAATCCGCCGCCGCGCTTGTGCGGCATTGGTTTGTTCAGTGAACGTGGTTTAGGTCGCGGGTGGGTCGCGGGCTCTCCACCTCCACCTGGAAGGAATGCAAAAGCAACCCGCCGCAGGCGCCAACAAAATTGGTTTGTACACTGAACGTGGTTTGGGTCGCGGGTGGGCCGCGGGTTCTCCACCGGGAACGAATGCAAAAGATGCCCGCCGCAGGCGCCGAAAAATGTAGTTTGTACCCTGAACGTGGTCGCGGATGGGCCGCGGGCTCTCCACCTGAAACGAATGCAAAAGATGCCCGCCGCAGGCGCCGAAAAATGTGGTTTGTACCCTGAACGTGGTTTGGGTCGCGGGTTGGTCGCGAGTTGGTCACGGGGTGGGTCGCGGGCTCTCCACCTGGAAGGAATGCAAAAAAAGCCCGCCGCAGGCGCCGAAAAGGTGGTTTGTACCTTCAACGTGGTTTGGGTCGAAGGTGGGTCGCGGGTGGGTCGCGGGGTGGGTCGCGGGGTGGGTCGCGGGTGGGTCGCGGGTGGGTCGCGGGTGGGTGGGTCGCGGGGTGGGTCGCGGGGTGGGTCGCGGGGTGGGTCGCGGGGTGGGTCGCGGGGTGGGTCGCGGGGTGGGTCGCGGGGTGGGTCGCGGGTGGGTCGCGGGTGGGTCGCGGGGTGGGTCGCGGGTTGGGCCGCGGGTGGGTCGCGGGGCGGGTTGCGGGTGGGACGACGACAACGAACAACAACAACAACAACAACAACAACAACAACAACAACAACCAACAACAACAACAACAACCACGACGACGACGACGACGACAACAACAACCACAACAACAACAACACCAACAACAACGATAATCCGCACCGCGGAATTCCACTTCAGCCACGCACCCAGGGACAGTGAATGACCGTTCGGCCCCCTCACTCTGATTATCAGCAGAGCGGCACGAATATGCTCGATGAGAAGTGAACATGAACGCTTTCGTTGGGGCGGCAAAAGCCCGCTCGGACCTGGCAAGATAGCACTGGTGCCCGCGGGGTGAGCAGATGTGCTACATGTTCTCTGTGGAGCAGGAGGGGGGTCCAGCGCCGATCCAAACAATCTGCTCGGAGCTCCGAAAGTTCATGTTTATGTACCTTTCCATTTTACGACAATCGCGCAAGAGGCACAGGTCGTACAGTCAATGTGCTACCACAAGGAACGCTGAGTAAGGAGCGAAGGAGCTTTCCAGGCCACGGCGAGCCTCGGCCACGGCCCGAAAGCCTGAGCTCCTCTTGAACCCGAAGTGGCCCTCATGTCCGCGTCTTGACTGCACAGCACAACTGTCGCCCTTTCGGTCTTGAGAGTGTCCACATACTGTCGCCCCTTGGGTCCTGAGAGCGCCGCAAAAGGCCACCAAGATCGATCAAGACCGCCCCAAAGGCTCCACAGGTCCCAGAGAAAGGCGCGCAAGGAAGACCTGGAGGATGTCTTCAAGGAGGAAAAAAACAAAAGCCGGAGTTTAGTAATCTTGACACACTTGCCTTGTCAAGCTCCTGAACGCCGAAGACGGCCAAATATATCCCCAAGTCGGCCCCAAAAGCCCCAAGACGAAGCACGAAGGCCCCAAGACGGCACAAGCAGCTCTGAAGACGTACTCTCAGAGAGGCCTATCACGGCCCAAGACAGCCCAATTTCGTCCCAAGACTGGCCCAAGAGGCCAATGAGAGCGTTGAAGAGGGCCAGCGGAAAAAAACCCAAGACAGCCAAGACAACCATTCACTCTGGGCCCCCTGTGCTTCCCACGAATACCTCGAGAAATCCGAGTTCAAACAAAAGATCGAGTTGTATGTCGACTACCACACACAACACCATGCATGTTGTTTCCACCAGGATGAAACAACACACTGCGAACATGTAGGTTTTCGGAAGTTGGCGCGGATGACCTGGATCGGCGCTGAACCCCCTTCCTTGGCGCGCGGAGCGCGCCAGTGGCGGCGCCGGAGACACTGCCAGGGGGCCCCAACGCCGATCCAAGAAATCCGCGCGGACCTCCGAAAGTTTATGGTTATGCAGTTTTTTTCCCTGCGAGCAAATGCACGAAGCGGGGTGATTCGAAATATGCGCATTCCAGAACGGTTGGCTCCCAGATTGCCAGGGTCCCGTTGCTCAGGCGGACGACGTCGCCCACGCCCACGTGCAGCCCGTCCCAAGCGTCGCGGTCGCCAGGCGCGAAGACGGACTTGTCCGCGTTGCTGCCGTCCACGGGCGTCCAAGAGATGCCGTCCAACGACGTGGCTTTCCCGCAGTAGCCGGTGGGGAGGAAACACTGGACACCACCCGCCCAACCGCCACAGTCGCCATAGCCCCCGGCGTTGCCGTAGTCCGCGACCCATGCTTGTCAGGGGCAGCTAGGTTCGCGCTTCGCGTCCCGTGAAGCGCGAATAACTTCGCGCTCCCGCGCAACCCCATGAGAGAGGAAAAAAGGACGAGGAGGATGAGGATGAGGAATCGCGAACAACTTCGCGCCGTCGTTGCGGCGCTTGGCTTGCCAGGGCGGAGAAAGCGCGTAAGACGATTCGCTGTCCCCCTCCCCCATTTTTCCTTCCCCTGGGGCCCTACTGCCAGAGTAGGGGTGGGCGAATTTAAAGCTGGTCGGGAGGCCCAGATGCTTCGCCTAAGGCGAAGCATACATCCAACCCCGCTGTATCGCATTAGCGATAGCGCCAGAAGTGCGAAGGAGCCGCGTGAGCGGCGATAATACATCTCAAGAGTAAAGGGTTGAACCTTTTCTGTCTCAACGTAAATAGCGGGCCGCGGTACGGCCCAGCCAAGTAGGTGGCCGGTCACTGGGCCAGAATGGCCGAGGACAAACGCTCGATACCTCTCGCCTTTGCCTTTGCCCTTCCTGCTTCAGAGTCGGAGGGGGAGAAGACGGAGCGCGAGTCCGCTTCCGGCATTACTCTGCACAACAAATGCATTACACAAGAAAGGCGACAGCCGGCAAGCTCAACCTAGGCAGGTCGCCGCGCATCTCAGTAATCCCCAGGCGGCTCAGATGGTCTCGTCTGGTCCTCCCTGAAGGGAGTGTGTCCTTTCAAGTAGTGCTTGAAGGATTGTACTCCTTCCATGATATTCATGAGCATGCCTCGGTCGATGCTCTCATTGGTGTGCCCATCCACATTCATATCTCGAGTGTCACACCACTGCACACAATGCACGATACCGCGCTCCATCATTTGGCGTATCCAACTGATGCGACCCAAAAGTATACACTCAGTCGGCATATTCAGGTCTTTGCTTTGCTTGACAAGGACTTGAAGACGGATTATGCACCAATGGCCAAAGTGACCTTAATGCTGAGGCCGCCCATCTCAAGTACATTATTCAGTTGGTTGGGTGTCAGCGGCCCTGCGTGGGGTACGTGTCGCGTGGCAATCGTGGGATAGCAGTCCTCCAAGTTGTGGTATGCTGCCAGTTTTACGAATAGCTCGAACGGACTCGCCAGCGGTGAGACTTACACTGCGCGTCGACAAGATGGACGACGGGATTGCCAGCATACGCGTGTCCAAGCCTTAGCAGGTTTGCCCCGCGAATACCATGGCCTACGACATCGTCATCGGCATCGCCGTTCAGGCGACTGTAGCTGGAATCGCTATGCAGATCGACATCGCCCATGGGTGTCATCGCTTTATAAGCGATTTTCGTAAGGCAGGCCTGCAGCTTCCTGATAACCGCATTGAGCCGTCGCACTTGCATGTTGGTCGGTTCTTGGACACGCTGTAGCGATGCAGCGGACATCCCTCACCATACGTGTGTGATCAAGCGAAAGCCAGAGCGCCTCTGAGGCTCGCAATCATATGGGCGGCCATCTTCGGTGCCGTAGCCTCAGCATGTGCACCCGTGAATTCGCGATGCTGGATAGGACAAAGCTGTTAATATATATATATATATATATATATATATAAATACTCGTCTTGGTCAGGAGTGACATTGCCGTCGCTGTCCTTAGCATATCTCACATCACAGTTAGTAGATGCGTGTTTGTTGAGTCTACATTTCCCAGAGATATCCTCGAACGCACTCTACGCACTTGTCGACGGCGCCCTCGGCGCCGGCCATTATTGCATCGACATGTTTGGCAGTGAGAACGCCGGGGTTTGCCTCGAACTCCTCGTCGTAAGACGTGGGTCTGAGCCCAAAGCCAGTCGCGGTCTTCCTGGGCCTCAGTGAGGCTCTTGGTGCATCTTTAGTGCCAGTGCCTGGTTTGAAGCACTGTAGACAGTGTATTGACTCATCATAGCGCTCGAATCCTGGGAGAGACCTGAACGCTGATGCTGAACCAGGTGGCGACGCAAAGCACGCCGCGCGTCCCTTCTCGCCGGTCTCTTCAGCGAGCTCTTGACGCGCAAGTTCTTTCAATGAAGCCATGTTGATGTCGAGGGGAGCAATGATCCACTGCTTCCTGCACGCTGCCGCGCCGGCGAGTAGTCGCTGGCTCGACCGCCGCGCCATTCCTGCGAGCGCTTCTACAGCGATGGCTTCGAGGTCCATGAAGCCCCGAGGTACCAGGCGCAGTCTGATGGCGCGTTCCATCTCGCCCTCTTCGCTCATGAATTTCCACGCGTATACGCATCTCGATGTCGCGAGGTCTGACGCCTTAGATATGTTCCCCAATCAGAGCTTGCCTCTGTACGGGTCCAAGCGGATATAAAGCTGAGGTGAAGTGGGCGGCCGATTTCGGTGGCCGGGGCCAGGTGCCTGGGTGCTCGGGGGTTCCCGGGGGTTCCCGGGGGTGCCCGGGTGCCCAGGTGTGTGGCCGATTTCGGTGGTGCCCGGGTGCCCAGGGGCGCCCGGGGGTGCCCGGGTGCCCAGGGGTGCCCGGGTGCCCGGGGCGCCCAGAAGTGCCCGGGGGTGCCTAGCCCAATAGCCATATATCCCTATAGCCCAATAGCCCAGTCGCCATATATCCCCATAGCACTATAACCCTACAGCCCTATAGCCGTACCTATACGACCACCCTTCGGGTGATGAGGAGGTTCGGGGGGGGGGAGCCAACGTCTTACTCGATCGGTCTCACTATCGATCTCAGTATCGATCTCACTATCGGTCTCCTTCGATCGATCTCACTCGATCGATCTCACTCGATCTATCTCATTCGATCGATCTCACAATTGATCTCACAATCAATCTCACAATCGATCACACAATCGATCTCGCATTCGGTCTCAATATCGATCTCAATATCGATATCACAATCGCTCTCACAATCAACGTCATCATCATCATCATCAACATCAACATCATCATCATGAGGGCACCGTCATCATCATCATCATAAACACCATCATCAACGTCAGCAAAATCATCGGGACAATACCATCATCATAAGTATCACCATTATCATCTCATCATCAACATCATCATCATCGGGACACAGTCATCGTCATCATCATCAGCAGCATCATCATAATCATCATCATAATCGGGACACCATCACGATCACCATCATTCTCATCATCAACATCATCATCAACATCGTCGTCATCTTCGGGACACCATCATTATCAGGATCATTGCATCATCATCATCGACATCATAATCATCAACAACATCATCACCATTGGGGCACCATCATCATGAGCAACATCATCATCAACATGGTCTTTCTCATTATGATCATCGTCGGGACACCATCAGCATCACCATCATCATCACCATCACCATCATCGGGGCACCATAATTCTCATCAACATCGTCATCATCAACATCCTGATCGCCGGGACACCATTTCCATCAACATCATCATCACCAACATCATCGGAATCATCATCATCATCATCATCATTACCATCATCATCGGGACACCATCATCGCCATCATCATCAACAAAATCATCATGAACATCATCATCCTCGTCATCGGGACACTATCATCATCATCGAGACCATCATCAACATTGTCATCATCTTCATCGGGACACCACCATCATCACCTCCTCATCATCATCATCTCATCATCATCATCATCATCATCATCATCATCATCATCATCATCCTCGCGGGACACCGCGGGACGCCGGCGGGGCACCGCGGGACACCGCGGGCCCCCTTCCCGCCCGCAAGCCGCCTCGCTCACTCCCGCCCGCCCCCCCAACACGCGGCGCCCGAGCCTGGCCCGAGCCTCGGCAGATTCAGCAGTCGTCCTTGGATGGGCAGCTACTGGGGGCCAATCCGCCGCCGCCGCCGCCTCCGCCGCCGCCGCCGCTCCCCGAAGGGGAAGACGGGGGTTGAGAACAGAGAGGACTATCTCAACCACTCACGCCCTAAAGGGCCGCTGGGATTATCTCAGTCACGCGCGTTGCCGCGTGCGCAGTCGAGCACTGCACTACTCTGTGTCGGCTCGAACCATCGTCGGCGGTGCCGCTGTGTGACGGGTTAACCGGCATCTGATATGGAGTACCAAGCGTTTCCCCCCATATCAATTTCCGCGGGGGTTAGCAGGTTGCCCCGCAGATGCAGATGAAGCGAGCGCCACCGCAGAAGCCGACGCAGTAGCGGGCTCGGCGGGTGACCCCGCACTCCCAGATTGGTCATTCTCCTTCTCGCGGAGGTCCTTGCACTGGCACCTGCTCACCTTTGGAGCTCCTGGTGCCTTGGATGTGGTCAGGTCTTCCTTTCCGCATCTGGCTGCGAGGCATGGCGAATTGTTGAACCACCCAGCGGGTGACCGACCAGTTCCACGGCGAGCCCGGCCAGGAGTGGCACCGCGCGCTGCGACGGGTCTCTTCGGTTTGGGCGCGCTGCTGCCCTGGAACGCTGGGGCGCGATCTACGGGCAGGTTCCCCCGCGGGCCCCCCATCGCATCGGTTCGCCTTGTTTCTTCCAGGGTCGGCCTCTGCTCTGGTTCGCATCTTCGACCTAGGTGGCCTCGGCAAGCTTGAAGATGGAGATGGGCCCACGGCCTCCGGAGAGCGCATCGGGGGCCCGTCTGCTTTCTCAGCGGGCCCCCCCGCATCAGCGGGGGCAGCATATGTCCCCGCGCTCTCGCACGAGGGGCTGTCTGACGGAGGCTCCCGCCCACGTCGGTAGATCGTCAAATTCCCGATCTCGGCATTCGTATTGCAATCAAAACTAGATATTCCATTGGGCAGCTTGCCGCGTACTACAATAACTATCCATCCAATTCGCCTGCTGCGATGCAACGCTGCATCGCCGTTTTCCAAGGCCGCGCCCCCCGCAACATGCGCATCGATGTCTACGCCTGCGTCGACGTCGTCGTCGGCGCAGGACTCGCATTCATATTCAAGCGCAGACGCAGGTACAGCGGGATCAACAGCTTGCGCGAGACTGGGCGCCTCGTCTTTTTTTTTGCCAGCCGTAGCTGGCGGGCCACCTCGCCTGTCCTGGCCAGCGTTGGCACCTTCGCGAGAAGAAACAGGCCCCCCCCCCAGAGGAGGCCGCATGCGCATCATGTCGGGCCTCGCGGCATGCCCGATTGCAGCGCATATGCGGGTGATCCTCATCGAGGGCTTCCCAGTCCTTCTCGACGAATTCTGCCTGGACCTCATCTGGCGGCTGGTAGTCCGCTCTGGTCAGGTGCGCGCGGCCGGGGTTGCAGCCCGGGTCGGCCATGCGGGCCTCGCCGCCCCCGCGGGGCCAGACCCGCGGGGGCCTTTCGATGTTGGGGCTCCTTGAACGGCGTCCCATCGGGAGATTCGGTGCGTGGTCTGCGACATGGGCGCACCCACAGACCAGCTCTCGGTGCTCCTTCCGATCCTTACAGATGGCCATTTTGTCGGCCTTCTGTTCCAGCGTTTCAGCTGTCTTGGCGCCGCCTCCTCTGAGGGCACGGATGATTTTCCAGTTTCTGGGCCCGCTGCGCAGGCCGCAATGACCAGCGATGGCGGGCTCGATGCTCGGGCCAGCCCTTTGCCCGCCAGTGCCTCATATAGTCGAGTGGTACCCGTTGGCGAGCGACCCCTTCGCTCGGTTCACCAACGAGTCTGAAACGAGGTTGGCCGTCGGGCTCTCGCCTGGCCCCTCATCGTCCTGATGCGGGTTGCCCCGCGACCGTGCCCTTCTTGGCGATCCTCGCGGATCTCGTGGATGTGCGCGCAGCGTGCCGCTCGAGCGGGCGCGCGAGCGCCTGCGCGGGTGACTCCGCCGGCGATGGCATGGCAGATTGCTCTCGGCCCCCCATTCCTCATCATCATCCTTAGCACACTCCGCGCGCCTCCAAGCCCGGCGGCTCGAAGGGCGGCCGCGTAGCACAAAGGTGGCGCGCGAGCCAACGTTGCGCCCGAATTCGCATTGGATCAGCTCAGAAGGTCGCCAGCGTCGAACGGGCCACCCCGCCGAGGGTCGTCGTCGCAGGACGCCCAGCGCGCGGGGTTCCCAATCGCCTGCGGTCGGAGCGACAATCGAGGCCCCTCCTCCGTAGCCGTCATCGCGCCACTATCAGAACTACCCGGCTCGTGCCCATCGGAGCGCGCAAGTGCCCCCGTCGCCCCGTAGTCCGAGTCGACGGGTGGTCAGCACTCCTCGATGATCTCCGCGCGCGCAGGTTGCCCCGCGATCGGGGCAACCGGCCAGCCTGCGAGATCGATCGTCGCGGCCAATGTAGACCCCCTCGAAGAGCTCCTCGGCGCACCTCTCGAGGGACACGCTGGCGCCCATGCGCCCCGTGGACGCGGAGTGGGCAGCGGCCGCGGATTTGCCCTCTGACTCGGCAAGTAGGGTTTCCAAACTGGCACTCTGAATGTCAGAGTCGGTTTGAGCCAAATGTATCGACGGACCCCTGCCTCTCCCGTCGCGTCGGGGGCATTCACGCCGAAAGTGTTTCCATGGTTTTCCCGCTGGCATCCATGGGGTTGCCCCGGCGCCCCTTGCCATATCCTGCGGCGCGCCGACGGCCTCTGCCCTTCCCCGGGAAGACTTCCTCGCGCTGTGGCCCCGTAAGGGAGGCCAGGAATGTCAGCGTACCTCTACCACGTAACCGTCGTTGTTAACCCTTACTTATACCCTTACCCTTTGACCTAACACGCGCATTGCAAGTCGCGCCCTTCGAACTGGTTTCTTCGTAAAACGTCTCCATCAGCGTTTATGTCTCTTGTGGCCCAGGAATATCCATTGCACTGGTTGCTCTTCAGTGAGATGCGCGGGCATATCAGAATATATATGCTACCAGTTCCTTCGTCTGACGAGGTATCAGCATCGGTGCCTGAATCAAGATCGGACTCAGCAGGTTGCCCCGCCGAGCCCATGCGGATAGCAAAATGGGCGGGGGCCGCCGATGCCGACGGCCCCCGACATCGAGCCCAGGAGTCCTGCGACCCCATGGGCTGGCCACCCTGCTGGCATAATGGAATGGTGGCCTCGTTTGGTCGTGGGTCGTCATTTCAGACAGCGCCGGCAGGTTGCCCCGCATGAGTGTCACTATAAAAGACATCAGCGCGGTGGCCGCGGCTGAAAATAGCGTCAATGTTGCGGGGGGTTCGCTCGGCAATATGGGCGTTAGCTCTCGTGCGCTCCAGTAAGGGGTCGAACTGTTTAGTCCTTGGCATTTGGTGGTTCAGCGGTTCCAGCGGTTGCCGTGCGCGCGAAGAACCAACGCCTTGGGCCCTGAACAGCATGACTGTCAGGATCTGGAAGTTTGAGATGTTGAGCCCCGCGGCGTCGCTCTCGAAGCGTGCAATCTCGAAGCGGGCCAGAGTCCGGTCGATCCGTTTCCCCGCATGGACGCGAGAGTCAATGAGAGCCGCCCCCGAATTAAGTTGTCGTTCCTCTTGTAGGTTCTCAAACTTGGTGCCGAGGAGGAACATTATGTGGGTGGCTCCATCGGCGCGGCGCCCACCAATGTCCACTCCAAAATTTTATTGCTATGGGGGGGCTCTCATGGCCATGGTCCTTGCGAGGCCTCTAAGGCCACCCTGTAACGCGGCTGCCTGTTGGGAGGGGGCCATAGCGCCCGTGGCCACGTTGATCCAAGAGTGCACCTCGAGAGCGAGCTCGCGGAAAAGGTACGTTACAGGCAGGGCCCGAGTGAGGACCGGCAGTACGCGCGTCGTCTGCATCACGCTGCGCATGTCCGATAGCGCATCCGATGGCGACCCGCAGGAGGCCAAAGATAGTGGTGCCAATCCAATGGCCCCGTAGGTCAGGGTCGGTTGTACGTGGCCGTTGGTTACGAGGTGGCGTTGCCGTCAGTTTGCGAGGAGGCGCAGGCGGCACGATGTCAGAACGCATGTTGCCATGCATCGTATCTTCGAACAAATTGCCAATTGGCGTAAGTGGGTGGGCTTCAGGAGTGTAGTAATGCAGAGATGCAGGGCTGAGGCAAGAGACCTCTGCGTGAGCAAAGGCAGCAGTACAAATGTCCGTGCGATGGTATAGAACGCCTCCACGTAGAGCCACTTCACCCGGATTTTCCACCAGGTCCGTAGTCCACCAGGTAATGCCGTGGAAAGCAAAGAGTAGAGCTAGAGCTGACCATCAACGGCCAGCTCCGCTACCAAATTGAAAGCTGGTCGGGAGGCCCAAGCAGATGCTTCGCCTAAAGGCGAAGCGTACGTCCAACCCTATCGCTCGATACCTCTCGTTTTTGCCCTTCCTCCTTCAGAGTGAGCGAGCTAGGGTTGGGCGGGGGACGAGCTCCTCAACGCTCATCCCGGGCCCTCGGGGCCTCCTAAATCCACCCTCCGTGGCCGCCAATATGCCCTAGCAGCCCTTGAAAATGGCTTCAAAAAGGATCCAGCACGCCGGAGAGACCTCAAGAGCATGACCAAGACGGCCTCAAGACTGCCAAAAACGCCCCAAGAGGGCCCGAAGACTCAAAAACCACAAACAATTGATGTCCAACACGTGTCTCGGCCTTCTGGGAAATTTCGTAAGCCTTCCCCGAAGACGCGGGAAACTTCTCAGAGGGCGCGAGTTCTTCTGAGAAGTCCCGCCGCCCTCTGAGAAGGCCGTTTCCTTCTCGTTTCCCCCCTTGCTCGCCGCACATCAGCGTGCGGGAGTGTGGCGGGGGAGCAGCTGGTATCGCGACGGCTTCTCCGCAGCTGCTTTGGTTAAGTCGGGCGTGTCCCCCTACAGGGGGATTTTGGGATAAAAACAAAAAATGCAAAACAAAAAACAAAAAACATACCCCCCAACGAGCAAAAACAGTCAAAAAATCGTCCCCATACTAATTTTCACCATTTTTTAATATTCCTCCTGTAGAAGGGCAGGCCCGACTTAATGCTTGGGCCCGGTGCCCATCCCTCGAAGGCCCCCACGGCCACGTCCCTGCCGCCTCGGCCTTGAGAACATGGGCCTCGATCGTGCCCTGCCTCACTGCCAGGAGCCTCCGCGCCCCGCAATCGTGGAGAGCGTGCGCGCGTCTCCTGCTCCTGGCCACCGCTCGGACGTCCATCCCCTGTGCCTTTCTCGGTTTCATCGGTGGCTTTTCCGCAGGATGCTCCAGGATGCTCCTTGATAATCCCCGACGAGAAGAAGTGCACACGCCTAAGCGATGCCAGGGCTCTGGACGGACGGGCGCTCACATGCGCGCCGACGCGCGGTCCACCCAGGGACGAAGCGGGGGCGCCGCGGCGCCAAGCACGCGAGCTGACTGGGGAATCCACCAGCTCTGCGGCGTGATCACGATGCAAGCAGGGTGGGGGAGGCAGCGGGAACGGCGTGGCCATGATGCAGAACAGATAGGGGGATGCAGGATGTACCTCCTGCTCTGGGGGTCGGCGGAGTAGCGCAAGTCACTTGACTAGAAGCAGACCCACTCCTCGCCGGCGGTTCGAGGCGCCAGCACCACGGGGTTCGCCACGCACGCGGCATCCCAGCGGCTCGGGTCCCCAGACGGCGCTATCACTGGCCGCGCAACTGCAAGCTCCGGCGCCTGCGCCCCATTCGCCCTCAGGCCTCGTGGCGCCCGGCGCTGCCTCCAGGGGGACGAACGTGTAGACTCGGACGACAAGACATCCCACTACGAGAAATTGTGAGGCACACTCTTCGTTCATCTTTGAGGGTCCCAAGGTTCCAATAGGGCATCGACTACAGAATTGATTTTCCACAGAATTGACATGTTCGTCGGATCAGCTAAAAAAGTACGTGGAATGTGCGTAGATCTACGAACACTCTCTTTGCAGATCCGACGAACATATGAATTCTGGGGTGAGTCGATTCTGCAGTCGATCTCCCACTCGACAGATGCCCCAGAGCTTCGGTGGGCCCCCAAAATGCCATCGGGGGGTGGATGCCTCCGCGGGGCACCTTGTGGCAGGCCGGCTCCCTTCATCGACGTGCCAACTGCACACCCACCGCCTTTCTTGCCAGGGCTGCCGCCCTGGCAGGGTCATTCCCAGCTCCTGAGAGACGGGGGGGCGTCGTAGTGAAGCGTACCATCGGACCCAGAACATCCCGTAAGAACATGAGATCCTCCGTCGGCCAAACCAAACAGAACATCCGGGGGCACCATCCCCAGGATGCACAGTATCATCAAACAAATACGACGAATAGGGTAAATTCCCGAATCGACCTCGATCTGATACCTCGGTTCATGTGTAGCCCACCTAGAATTCGTGCAGCTCCCCAATCAGTGTTTGCACTGAAAGGGTGCAGGCGGGTGGTGAAACGATTTGATGAAAACGCGCCGCCGTTTCGGTAACTACGCAGGCGGCTGGTGAAGAGCAGGGACATCCTGACCAGACCAAGCGGGAGAGGCGGATCTGTGCCTGATTACGGACATCCCTTGCGGGGGATCTTCCTAACCAAACCTGGATAGCCTGCCCCTAACCTGGCTTGGACGCCCAAAAAACGATTGACAAATAAACCAGATGCCCAACAACAGATGTTGCCCTGTGTACTTGTACGCCAGGCGTGTAAGCTTAGTAATGTTGTATCGCTGTACCCTTATCTTCATTCCGAGTGTGTCCTTAGAGGCGTGTGAGTTGTGCTAGCTGTGCCCAAATATGGTATGTGTGATCGTAATGAGCGGCATGTGTTCGTACGCCCGTGTATGGTGTGATCGCAGTGTGCAAATCCTTGTCAGAATGACTGGGATACCAAAGAACCATACCTGACCCACTGGGTTGTGTCGCAAGTGAGGATGTCTGCCCATTTGTATCCTACCGTGTCTCCATTGCCCATGCCTCTTTCCCAGGTATGCCGTTCTGGGTTCCCATGCAGCGTATGAGGCTGTAACTCGCATGAGTCGTGGCTGTGGGTGTTCTGCAATTGCCAGTGCAGCGTGGTGCTAGGTCAGCTGATGTGCTGGTGGAGGTCATGTCCTTGAAGTCTGGTGGAATGAATTAGGCAGTATGGGAGAAGTCGCGTCGACTGTAGTGCTCTGGTCAATATCGATGCCCCTCCCCCAGGTATGCCCGATAGGGCTCCCATACAGGTCCTCTCCTCTCCCTTCTCCTTCGTGGGGCTCTTATGAGGCCCTCTTGGGGCCTTCGTGGGGCCATCAGGATCCTTCCTGGGATTCTCTGCTGTTCTCCTGTGGCCATTTGGGGGCCCCTGGGAGCGGGCCCCTGGGAAAGGCTCCAGCTCTGGGAGGGCAACGGATGCTTACGGCAAGGTCGCGTCGTGTCGACCCCAGCGCTGGTTCCTGACACCGCGGGGATCGTCCCAACTTGAAAGGTCGGTCCACGACGGGCCGATCCTGGGTCACGAGCGGCGTTCCACCTCAAGCGCACGCGGCGAGGTCGCCGCTGGTCGCCCTTGACGGGTGCCCCCGTGCGCAACTGTGGGTGCCCTGACGGGGACGCAGCCCCCTTGCCCTGGTCTCACATACAGTCGGCCTTCATTGGACAGGACACGCGAGAGGACACGAGACCCTTCCGGGGGCCGCATCGCCACAGGTGTGTGAGAAGGCACGTGCCGCGAGGCACAAGACTCAAGGGTACCCTTGAGCTGGCAGGGTCGACCTACTAATCCGGGCCGACTGTATGCAATGAAAAGCGCTTGCTCGCCCCTGGACTGCCGCAAGAGCGCCCGCGCCACAGGCGGGTGGCGCACGACCTCCGCGCGAGGGCCGCGCGCGCCGAGCAGCGACGCCGCGCAGAACGCGAGGGCCACCAGCTGCTGACGCGAATAACAAAGACAACTCTTCTCCTTCCCTCTCTTGAGGGGACGAAGAGAACGACCCTACCCTGGGTTACAAGTGCGTGGTATGTAAACCTCCTGGGAAGTCCCAGAGCCTAGAAAGCCGCCAGGACGCCGCACATCACGCAAGGTGTATCCTGTCAGCCCACAAGAGGTTCAGCGCACAGCGCCTCGTAAACCAGGATAGGGGAGTCTTTTGCGCCCTTGATCTCTCTCTCTCTCTCTCTCTTTCTCTCTCTCTCTCTCTCTCTCTTGACGGCGCGCAAAGTGGGGTGGCGGGAGGGGGCGGCCTTCTATAAAGGAACAGCAGACGGCCCAATCGTAAGTTTTCGGAGCTCCGCGCGGATCCGACACGTCCGCGCGGACCTCCAAAAGTGCATGTGTACGCAATTACTGCGTCTTCGGATCTAAGAAGCCACCTGCCTAGGAGCCCTCCGCCTTCTCACAAGGCCGCCCCCCTCGCGGCACCCACGTGTGCACGCATCCAATCCTTTGTCCAGACATGCTCTTTCTCTGGCCGCCTCCGCCCCCATGGACCCCCTTCCAAGAGTTTCCTCGAGCAATGCTTGCACTGAGGGGTTTTACGCTTGGGATGTAAAGAACTAGGCCTATCCGTGGCCTTCAATTCTGGTAGCCGCTTGGATTCCTGTGACTTGCTGTGGCTTCCTATGGTGTCCCTGCCTGTGGCTCTCGTCCTGGTGGCCGCTTTGAGTCGCATGGCTTCCTCTCGTGACGCCCGGAATGTGAACAGAAAAAAGGCCAGCGATGCCCAACAGCAAGTGGTAACAACAAACGATAGCGGCCGCTGTTGGGCGTGCGAGGTGCGTCCAAAATGACAACGTCGGCGGCGATGACGACAGCAAATCCTGTCCACAGTGGACAAAGATCCCACCAGCTCTCTGAACGTACATCGTATGACGAGTATGCTTGTCCCTCTTCCACCCGTTGTTTCCCTGTTCGGGCAGCGGGTTGTCCCTTCCCCATACTCCCTCCCCTGCGTCTGGACAGCGGGGTGCGAGCTGTCAGAGCGTTCATGATGGCTCTTATCAGGTAGCTTGAAGAAGGCCCCCGATGCTCCAAGACGGCAGCCAAAAGTGCTCCAAGTAGTCGAGGATTGTTCACGATAGCCTCGGAAGTACTTCCGAGAGGCGCAAAACATGGCCAGGAGACGGCTCCAAGTGCTCCCAGAGCCCTCTCAAAGCTCCCCAAAAGGTCAAGTCGTCCCAAAACATAAATGATGGTTGCCGTCATGCCGTTTCGCCCCCAATGGGCCTACGAGGCCCCACGGTGGCCCAAAAGGAGCCCAGGCGGGCCGCAAGGCGGGAACAGAGAGGCAGACAGGGCCATAGGTCTACTGCCGTGGCTACCCCGCCTTTGGGGCAGACTCCGCCACTTTGAAAGGGCGCAGTGGTGTGCGCAGAGAGCGGGGCATTGGGACACGGCCATTGCGGGCTCATCGGCGCTGCGTGTAGCTGTTTGGAGAGCGTTTCAGGACGAGCTTGCAGAGCAGTCATGCCTCCCAGACCTCGAGCACGCCAGCCTTCTTTGGGATGTTCAAGGGTTTTATGACTCCCTGCGGTGGGAGCTCGTAGCTTCGAAGGCACTCGCTTTAGGTTTCCCAGCGATCTATCTGGCGCTGGAGCTTCAGATGCATATGTCGCCGAGGTTCCTGAGGGAGGAAGGATGTTTCTCAGAAGCTATACAACCCAGTCTGTCTCTGATTCCAGGCTCAACAGGAGCTGTGGATCTAGGCAGGTGTGCCCTGTATTTTGTCTGCGAAGAAGTGGCCAGATGCCCACCCCCTTCTCCCAGCTTGCACACATGGGTCGACGACATAGTGCAGCGTTGTGAAGCACCCAGGCAGAGATTAGTGGAGACGCTGTTTCGTGCGGGCCAGCAGTTAGTGGCAGGCCTGCGCGACATCCACCTGGCTACAGCGGCCAAGTCATGCATCATCTCTTCATCGCCAGTAGCAGCTCGAGAGTTATCCCAGCGGTTTAAAGACGCCAGCATCAGCATTCAGGTGAAGCCGAATGCACCAGATTTGGGACTTGATAGGGGCAGGATTTCGAAGAGTAGGCCAAAGCAAGCAGCGAGGCGCGCAGCAGCAAGTTTTAAAATTCGCAAGTTATCAAGGTTTGCACGTGGAGCGCGCAAACATCGGGAGCTGTCCAGGAGAATGATTTCGGTCTCGGCGTTCGCTCAGTCTCGTTACTCGGATCAAGTGTATGGGACAGCTCCCAGTGTAGTAACGCGGTGGAGACGGGCATTGGCAGACCTGTCGAGCAGGAAGAAGCACGGCAGATGCCTAACCACTCTCCTCGCGCTGGAGTATGGGACACAGGACCCAGCCTACACAGCGGTCTTTGATGTAGTCAAGATGTGGTTTTCTATCTTAGGAGACCGGAGGATCAACCCAGAGCGGGTTCAGAGAGGCTGGAGCAGAGTGCTCGCCAATTTGAGCTGCAGGGCCAGGAAGAATCGATGGAGGCGAGTATGCTCACCCATGGCCGCAACGATTTGCACTCTGCTCGATCTAGGCTGGAATCCTGAAGGCCCGTGGCGCTGGCACAGTGATATAGATGAGTTATTTGAAGCGCCTGTCGAGCTGATAGGAAAGGGGCCTTTGGACAAATCGCACGTCCTTTTTGCCAGTATAGCAGACAGTGTAAGTAGGAAGCTTTGGGCAGGCGCTGCAAAGAACTCCTGGATGGGAGAAGGCTTGCAGCAGGTGCCAGAGATGTCAGGCCCGAGAAAGCAATGCCGCCTGGCAGCAAAGCGCAAGGACTTTAAGTGGAAAGGTTTGCTACAGTGTGTGATGACAGGTGCGACTTGGTGTAGGCAGCGACTTTTTGAGTATGGACTAGAGGAGGACGCGCTCTGTCCCAGATGCAACCAGGCACCCGAGACTGACAAGCACAGATGCTGGGAGTGCCCAGCGAATGAGGAGTTTCAAGATATATCGCGGAGTCTAATAGCCAAGGCAAGGAACGAGGCGGACAGCCTGCCTAGCCTTTGGATCCGAGGGCTAGTGCCCTCCACGTGGACTAGTGTCCCAGAACCAACAGAAGAGGCCATCAGCTTTGTTTTCGGCAGGTCGAGCCACCAGTCTTTCGGAACGCCAGGGGTCATCTTTGGAGGAGGTGACGCGAGTGGCGGCAAAGACAGAGACCCTAGGCTGCGCAGAGTAGCATGGGCGTTTGCGACGCTCACTGGTTTTCGAGAGGATGGGAGCTACGACGCGGGTGAGTTGGGTCTGGGGCACTTGCAAGGAGGGAATCTGCCAGGAATGTTTCAAACAGTCAACCGTGGTGAAGCCACGGCTCTATTAGAGTTTGCAGCGGCCACTCTGCCATTAGCGCACGCTGTGTATATCACAGACTCTGATTATGTGATGAGAGGCGTCGAGAAGCTGCGAGTGGGCAAGAGCCCAGACACGCATGTGGACGTGTGGCGACGGCTTGGAGAGACGATAGCCAACCACCCCGACAAAGGGCTCAGAGTGCTGAAGGTGGAGAGTCACCTCAGCGCTGACGAGGCGCTCGAGCAGGGCGTGAGCCCAGCCAGCTTCCTTGTGAATTCTATCGCAGATGCGGCGGCAAGCAGACTAGCCGAGGAGTTTCGAGTCTCTTTCGCTGATAGGTGCAGGGTGGAAATGTCGACTGCGGTAGGTTTCGCAGTCAGGAAGCATCTTGCCAAAGTACTAGGTCAGGTAATCGAGACAGTGCCACGACAACAACCGAGCGATAGAGCGCTAGCAGACCGTAGAGCGAGAGAGGCACGAAGTGTACAGATCACAGAGCACCACGGCGTTTGCATTGCAGGCTCCAGAGTTCGTTGCAAGGAGTGTGGAGGATCGGCGCCGAGGAGGGAGTTGAACAGATTCCTCGACACTCCTTGCGTGCGTGGCCTCATGAGAGGCGTCATGCTCTCACCTGCTGGAGTCCAAGTTTTTAATGGGAGAGAACTGCATGTTTCACACGCAATCGGGGTCCATCAGAGATTTGGCACCCTGATATGTCTTCGCTGCGGGTTCTATGCTCAGAAAGGCGCACGGAACCTGTTGCATCCCTGCCAGGGCAGACCCACCACGCACGGTAGGCGAGCTTTGAGCAGGCTTCAGAAAGGTGAAGTCCCAGCGGTCAGGTCGATAGAGACGGACAGGGTTACAGCACTGAATTAGAAACAGTTTGAGCCAATGGCGGGAAACAGAAAAAAAAAAAAAAAAAAAAGTCTCGGAGCGGGGGGCAGTTCCGCCGCCCCCTTTTTCAAGCGTAGGGCCCCCAAAGACCCCAAGACTACCCACTACCCACACACACTCTTGTTAAGCCGGCGGCGCAGAGGGTCCTCAAGCGAGAGCAGCAGATGGAAGTGCGACTTGCGATCGAGCGCTGTGGAGGCACAATGCACGAAGTGTCGCACACTGTCAGGCGATGGGTGTGTGCTAGAAGAACTGTAAGTCCAACGAACCATGCAGCGACCAGAATAAGAGGAGGATACCCCCACCACACACGCACACAACAGAGCCCCAAGAGGACTCCAAAAGGCCCCCGAGAGGCCCGAAGGTGGCCCCAAGGATGCCTCAAGCTCGTACAACAGATCCGCGCGGGCCGCCTACTCCTCCTCATCCGTCTCCTCGTCCTCGTTCTCCTTGCTATATTCCTTATCCTCCTCCCCATGCTTCAACCTCATTATCCAAGCAAATCGCATGAGCATCGTTTCTGGACTGGCTGGTGGGATGAGCGAGGCGTCAAGAATTATTGTCGGTTTGGGTCCCCATTGTTTTCGTGTCCATGTCGGTCCTCAGGATGTGATGTGTTTTTTCAAGACTTCCTCGTTGCCGCTTCGATCCCTTGGTATTTCTACACGCATGGTTCCTACACACAGGGTTCCCAAACACATAACTTGGGGGATCACATGGACGGGATTGCCCACAAACGGTTGCGCACGCACACGCAAGGCTGCGCACACCCAGAATCCCGCCAGGGCTCCACACGCACGACGCACTGCGACCCGAATCAACTGTGTGGGGGGCCCATGCGCTAGCATCATTCAGTCGGGTTCCCGAAAGAAGGAACTGCAGAAGCATCAACTTTCGGAGCTCTGCGGGGATTCCTTGGATCGGCGCTGGACTCCCTGGAGCGCCGCCCCTGGCGCGCTCCGCGCTCCAGGGAGGGGGTCTGACGCCAATCTTAGAAGTCCGCGCCAACCTCCGTTCTCTTCTCCAGATTCCAAACAGCGGAGCAACTCGACGCATAGAGCAAGAACAAAGTGTGAAAAAGAGTTGCTTCGTTTCTTCCGTCAACAGACGCGAACGGCAGTGCGCGCCCGCGGGATGGCGCCGCGGCCGGCGGGGCGGGCGGGAGACATGGCGCGCTGCTTGGGCCACACGGCCCCTGATCGACATGGGGCACCTACCTGCACACGGCTGGTCATCACTGAAGAACCCTGGTTTAGGAAATCACCTGCAGACACGACGGGGACCTGGAGGCCGGAAGTTCCCCCCCTCGGAGCTTTCGGGCAACATCATCGATGACGAATCCGAGCCAGTATTGCAGGATTTTGCCAGTTCTGTTCAGGCTCAGCAGTGGCGCGGTGCGTCGCTACGTTTTTGCGGAGACGGCATGCAGTACGGAGTTAATAATTGTTCGACGCAAAAGCTCATTCGCCAGCTGCAGTCGGTGCGCCACGGCACCAAGCCAAGCGAGTTGATGGTGTCTATCGCGACCAGTGGGTCTTGCTCGCGGCAAAGACAGCAAGATGAAACCCTGCGGATCAAAAAGTTTGGTGTGCGTGTCCACACACACCTTAAGCTTGGAACTCGATCGGCACGAACGGGCCAGATCCGCCGACCCTGTCGGCGTGTGGAAGAGGCTGTTCCGTTTGACTCGTCGTCGTCGTCGTTGTCGTCGTCGTCGCTCTCGCCATTCCCCACCCCTGTCCTAAGCACGTCGCCGCCCTCTCCCACTTTCACAGGGCCGCCCTCCTCGAGCGCGCCGACCACAGCGAAAGTGAGCAACTTTGCAATTGAATCGAGAGGAAACCCCTTCCCCTCGTTCCCTTCCTTCTCGCTCTCCCCGCCAGGGGGGTGTCCCTGGGGGGCGTCCCGGGGCAGATACGACCACCCCCCGGGCGGTTCGAGGGCCCAGAAAAGCTGCGGGACGCGGCAACATGCCCCAACATGTTCCCAAGACGGTCTTCGAGCGCTCCATATCGCTGAAGTATCGGTATACGTCGCCAAATTAACCTCCAGACGGCGCAGAAAGGTTTCCCCCACGCCCCAAGAGGCCTCCAAGAGGACTTCCCAAGGGGCAAACATCATTGATTTTTAAAGATAAGTTTTGACAGAAATCAACATTCTCGCCTTATCAGCTTCCCGCCTTATCAACTTCCCGACGCTCCAAGACAGGCCAAGAAGCCCCAAAGACCGCCCCAAGATGGCCCAAAAGCCCTCCAAGAGAGTTTCAAAACGAGCCAAGAGAGCGCCAAGACCGACCAAGAGGCCTCCAAGACAGCCGAAGAGGCCCCCAAGACGGCTCCAAGGAGGAGCCCAGACGGGGGACCCGAATGAACATTTCGAGGCCTCGGCCTGAGATGCTCTCAGGAACCCCCCAGAGGCCCCTAAGAAGCCCCTCAAGAAGGCCCAAGAAGCCCCCAAGAGACCCCGCGGAAGCCTCAAGAGGCATCCTCCGCCTCTTGCTCATCAATGTCCTCCTCCTGCTCGTCGTCGCCGTCTTCAGGGTCGGCGGCACCGGCCGTAAGGCCTTCGCAATACTTGTGAATGCTTAAGCAGAGGAACGGATACGGAACCTATTGCATTTTGGGACGCTTCAGAAGGGAAGGAGTCGGGAGGTACGAAACACATGAATGTAGGACTGGCCATCACTGTTCTGGCATCATACGATCCTTGTGCCATCCGTGCTTCACTCAAGGGTCCCATGACGGGCAAAGTGCAAAACGTACCTCAAGGCGAGATGCAAGCATTCTTCTTAGCACTGGAGCGTACGGCTGCCAATATTGTGTACGTCACCGACTGTGAGGCCGACATATAATGCCTGAACGGCCCACAGGGGCCAACAAGGACCTCTGGAGCAAAATCTGTAGATATGTCAGGGCACGTCGGAGGCAGGTCTCTCTTGTTCGTGCACTCGCATCTCACTGGAGAGCAGATTGTCGCCTCGGGTACCCCGTCATAGGCTTGCCATCGGTAATCATTGCGTGGACGAGCTGGCCGCCCAGGCGGCTGAGGAGGGCAGGATCAAGCGATGGTAGTCACGAAGACCGAGACGTGGGGACGACCCTCGACGCGCTCGCGAGCGCCCGCGAGAGCGAAGGGGACTCCTCCTCCTCCTCCTCCTCCTCCTCCTCCTGAACCTCCTGCTCCTTCGGTCGTGCGTTCTCTCGGTTCGCAGCACTGTTTGGACGAGTCCAGACGGAGGTGCACTCGTTGTTTCGGGTCAGCAACACACGCAACTGCATCCGCATGGTTTACCTCTTGAGTGTGTCCAACCTATCTGTCTTGCCGTCGCTCGGACGTCCATTTCCCGTGCATGTTTCGGTTTCGTGCGTGTTTTTTGCTGTTCGATGGTCCAGGATGGTCCTGGATGGTTCTCGCCGAGAAAAAATGCACACGTCCGAGCGATGCCAAGTTGTGATAACAACAAGTTCGGGGCTCTTCCTGTGTGGGGAGGGGCGGCCACACATTGCGGGGCTGGGCGGAAGGGGGGCTCATAGGATGCGCTTGCAATCTGATCAGAAAATGTGATTGTGCACGGGATTTGGCTACTTCGCCCACTCTCGGATGAGAGAGTTAGCCAAGCCGTGTACAAACCAAATGTTCCTCACAGGAAGGAGTACGTATCCAGATTGCTCGAGGGTAAATGGCCCAAGCTTCTTAGCAAGGCCGAGCAGCAGCGCTGCTCGTAGTTCGTTCGTCGACCACAGCGTGGGATTGCTCGCAACTCGCAACTCCTCGTCATCCATCTCTTCATCGTTATCACCATCAACATCGCCATCATGATCACCATCACTATCATAACCAAGACCTTCATAATCATCATTGTCGTCGTCATCATGATCAAAATCAGTATCATCATCATCATCATTCATCATCATCATCATCATCATCATCATCATCATCATCATCATCATCATCATCATCATCATCATCATCATCATCATCATCATCATCATCATCATCATCATCAACATCATCATCATCATCATCATCATCATCATCATCATCATCATCATCATCATCATCAACGTCGTCGTCATAACCATCACCATCATCACCGTCGCGAATATCCTCACCACTATCATCAGCAGCAGCATCACCAACATCATCATCACCATTATCATCGTACTCATCGACATCATCAGCATGATCATCACAACCACCATCATCATCAACTTCATCACCATCTCCATCATTACCAACGCCATCGTGCTCATCAAACCAGCTGCGAATATGGTCGGCCGGGTGCGCCGCGTAGACGAGCCGGCGCAGCCTTTGAGCGCGCAACTCCGACCCTCCAGGAGCGGCCGTTGCCTGCTGCCCTCCTCCTCCTGCTGCTCCTCCTCCTCCTGCACATGTTCCTCCTTTCAACCTCGACCAAGCCTGGCGTAAGCATGATCCTGCCTGCGCGCCACACACCACTTCCGCCACCGCATGGCCAAAAAGGGGCCAGAGGCGGGCAGCGCCACCCAATGCCCGGCACCTCGCCACACGGACGCGTGGAAGCAGACCCGCTCCGCCCCGAGATCCCGACCGATCCATCAGGGCGGCGGCCATCTGACGAGCTAGGGCCAGACCCGACCAGCCACAACTGGGGTAGCTGCGGTCCTTACCCCCCTGGGGGAACCCATCGCCTCGACGAGCTCTCGAGAGGGGTGTCGAAATCGATGGGTCCCACAGGGGGGTAAGGACCACAGCTCCCCCAATTGTGGCTGGCCTGCAGACCTTGCTCGGAGAGTCGCTGGCAGGCGAACGTCCGAGATTGGACAAGACGCGCGCACCATAAGAATCTGAGACGGGCGGCAAAGCACCCTCGGCTGAGAGCCTCGCTGGGACTTTTGCAGGCCTCCTCGCCCGCACGCCGTGCATACTACACCGAGCTCCGCCGTGAAGCTCAGAGGGTGCACGACGTGAAGTCAGCCACCAGACTCGGCAGTGCGCCCACGCGCCATGTCTGAACGCTCAACTGCTTGGGGCATGGAAGTGGGAGGGGAGGGGGGGATGACGAGGGTGGGCGGCCTGTGTCGCCCACTCCTCTGGCTAACATGCACACGCTCCTCGTCCTCCTCCTCCTCCTCCTCCTCCTCCTCCTCCTCCCCCTCCTCCTCCTCCTCCTCCTCCTTCTCCTCCTCCGCCTCTTCCCTCCCAGCTGGCCTTTTCGGGGGTGCCCGGCGCCCGACGCGCGCAGGGCCTGTCCGCCGTTCAAGGCTTCGAGGGCCCTCTCCGCTGCCGAAAGATCCCTGCGTCGGGGGGGGGGGATGAAGGGGGGAGGAGGGAGGGGAGGGGAGGAGGGAGGATTGAGGGAGGAAAAGGAGGATGAGGGAGGGAGGAGGGGAAGAGGAAAGAGAGGGAGGGAATGAGAAAGAGGACGGGGGAAGATGAGGGAGGAGGGAGGGGACATGGAGAAGGGAGGGCCTCCTGAATTCCCTCCTCTTCCTCCTCCTGTTCCTCCTCTTTCTCCCTCCTCCCTCTCCCTTTTCTTCCTCCTCCTCCACCTACGTACGTCCTCCTACGCTCTCAAAATGCTCCACCTCCCCCTCCCCTCCTCCTCCTCCTCCTCCTCCTCTTCCTCCTCCGTCTCTCTTTTCATATCCTTCCGCCTCCCTCTCTCCCTCTTGGGTATTCGTTTTGAATAGAGCACCGTGGTCGCGTCTTGCTCCTCCACCTCCCGCCTCCCTCTTGTCTCCTCTCGCCGTGTGGGTTGAGGCACCGCGCAGATTTGAGCGAGACCTCTCCCTCCCTGGGTGGCTGCGATTTGTGAAACTGCCGCCAGTTTCGAGGACTGCTGGCGAGGCCAGCAGATCCAACGTGGACCTTGCCATCTCTGGGGGGCTGCGATATGTGAAACTGTCGCCACTTTCGAGGGCTGCTGGGGAGGCCAGCAGAGAGGGTACTCACCGCGGATCCAAACAGGACCTCGCCATCCCTGGGGGCTGCGATCTGTGAAACTGTCGCCACTTTCGAGGGCTGCTGGGGAGGCCAGCAGAGAGGGTACTCACCGCGGATCCAAACATGACCTCGACATCCCTGGGGGGCTGCGACCTGTGAATATGTCGCCACTTTCGATGGGCTGCTGGGGAGGCCAGCAGAGAGGGTACTCACCGCGGACCCAAACAGGACCTCGCCATCCCTGGGGGGCTGCGATCTGTGAAACTGTC